AAGGCCGGGCATATGGAAAGTGCCCCTATCCCGGAAAATCAATCAGGTATCCACGGAAAATTCGAAGGGAATAAGAGGTGTAAAAACCTATCCTCCTGTGGAATCGATGGGACGGAATGATGTAGGCTGATGAAGACCGACAGGAAGGCGGTCAAAGCTATATTTTCACCGGAAACTTGATAGTTTCCATGCTTAGACCAATATGTTTAGCATTAAACATTGCAAATGTATACTATCATTTCAAGTACTATATAGCTTCTTCTTCTTGTATTTATCTTGTAAATACACTTTCAATAATGTATTATTCATAATCGCATTTTATACCATTTTGCAGCTGCGAAGAATTTTCTACTCTTCCTGAAATAGCGTTCAATCACGTGGCGGCATAGCACTCACCGAGATATACGCTGTTCACTGGTTGACCATAACGATCAGCAGGAAACGGAACGAAGTTTGGGTTGTCGCTCAACTTTGATGGTGACCTTAGTAAACGGTTTACAATTTTACATTTATAAGAACCTGTTCTGATGGCTTGTACGATAATTGAATAATCCAAACTTTTGAAAAAGTATTAATTTATGATACTTCAGGATTGTAACTCATAACATTACTGATCGTGCCTGTAAAAATGGCATGCATTTCTTCTAAACTTACCTTTTTATACGAAATACAAATTATTATTATAAGACATTGCTGTTCGCAAACTAACTAACGTTTCGATGACATCACATGAAGTTACACAGCTTTCTGAATATACGAAGCATCGGAAATCAAACAGTTCCAAATTAGCAAGTATGGAAGAGTAGTGAAGAGAACTTTTAATTAACCAATTCAATACACTTATGCTGTCGTCAGAATACCAAGAAATAACAATCTTTGATGAAACAATAAAATCAGCAAATATATCGAAAAAGTGATTGTTCCATCAAACCATTAGCACTGAAGATTAAATTCGATGCAAATGAATTCTGTTGCGTGTTCTATTTGACTAAATTAGCGTACACCGTGATAAAGCGTCTGCCACTTCATTGTGTTTACCCTTTACATCTCGCAGATCGGAGGTGAACTGAGATATAAACTCGAGATGTCGTAATTCACGTGGAGAGTAGTTATCCTTTTTTGCTGATAAGGCTTTCGTTAGAGCTTTATGGTCTGTAAAGACAGTAAAAGCTGTACCTTCCAGCATATGTCGAAAGTGCTTGATTGCTAAATAAACAACCAATAACTCTCTACCAAAAGTGCTATAGCGGCATTGAGTAGGATTCAGTCGTTTTGAAAAGAATGCTAGGGGTTGCCAATCGCCGTGTACTTGCTGTTGTAAAACTGCCCCAATGGCAACGTCTGAAGCGTCTGTCATGAAGGACAGGGGGCGTCATTTTGGCGTCTGACTAAGAGTGTCTTGTCATTTAACAATTGTTTGACATTTTCGAATGCTTTAACAGCTTCTGCGGGCAAATGGAATGAACGACTATGTCCACGTAAGCAGTCGGTTAATGGTTGTAAAGCTTTAGCACAGTTCGGGATAAAACGCCGGTAAAAATTAACGAGACCCAAAAATCGCCGTAATTTCTTACAAGAATCTGGTAACGGATAATCTTTGATAGCTTGTACGTCATCAGGGACTGGTCTAATTCCTTGGCTATCGATTAAATGACCGAGGAATTTCAGTGAGGTCTTACCAAATTCGCATTTGTCTAAGTTGATAGTCATTCCGTATTGGTTAAGTCTTTCAAACACAGTCTTCACATGTTTCAAATGCTCGGCTTCGTCTGCACTTGCATTTAGTAAGTCGTCGATGTATGCGCAGACGAAAGGGAGACCGCGGAGTACTTGGTCGATTAGGCGTTGAGATGTCTGAGCGGCGTTCATTAGTCCGAAGGGCATGCGTACGAATTCGTATAAGCCAAATGGTGTGGTAATGGCGGTTTTCGGAACGTCATCCGGGTGGATGGGGATATGATGATGCGCCCTGACAAGATCGATTTTAGAGAAAACTTTAACATCTGGTAAGTTGCTAGCGAAATCGTGGATATGTGGTATTGGGTATCGATCAGGTACCGTTTGCTTATTTAAGGCTCGATAATCACCGCACGGCCTTATCTCACCAGAAGACTTTTTGGGTACCATGTGAAGCGGTGAAGACCAAGAGCTGTTGGATGGTCGAATAATACCAAACTCTAGCATTTTATCGAACTCTGTTTTGTGATTTTGAGTCGGTATGGGTCAAGGCGTCGGGGACGTGCAAAAACTGGTGGTCCAGTAGTTTTAATATGATGAGCCACGTGATGGTTTGGTTCTGTTCCTCGAAAAGAAGGTTGTAAAAGGTCAGGAAACTGATTTACTGATTCCGTAAATGGAGATGCTGGTGTGCGTGTGACCATCAAGTTCAGGGATGATGCACGGCTAATCGTACCAGAAATGTACGTTAAATTGAGCGAGTCTATTAGCTTGGGGCTTATCGGATCAACTAGCAGTTTGTGTTGCTGTAGAAAATCGATACCGAGGATTGGTGATGGGACGTCTGCAATGATGAAAGACCAAGTGTAGGTATTCTTCAAACCAAAATCCAAAGTCATTCGTTTACTTCCATATGTAACAATACGGGACTGATTAACGGCTTGTGGCGTAACTGCTGGGTGAGGATGCTCAAGTTTCTGGGTGGACGGAGGGAGAACCCTCAACTCTGCTCATGGGTGCGTCGGTGGCACAGTGGTTAGGACTCTCGCCGACCATGCACATGGTCCGGGGTTCGATCCTCTGCCAGCGCACACCCGATATCTATGGTCAGCCTGAATCTGGGCTACCGATATCCGTGCTGAAAATTCCATACTTGTACTGAAAATACGGTGTGGAATCAAGCTGTAAATAAAAAAATTAAGAATGTCGTACCGGTATTTTTATCTGTTACATGACACAAACGACTGTTAGATCGTAGATTGCCAACAGTAGTTTTCACACATGACGATATATCTTTTGGTTTAGCCTGGAAGGTGCAAGGTGAACGGCACCGTCGTGCATTGCTTCCATAACTACGGTGATACCAGCAAATATTATCGCGATGTCGTGACGTGTCAGGGGACCGAGAAAGACGTCGACGAGACGAGCTTCTAGAACAGCTTGGTTGTGTGCGTGTGGTCAGTTTTGCTAACTGACTCAGTAAGGTGTCGACTTTGTGTTCTAGAGTCTGTATTCTATCGTGAATGTCTGGTATTCTGCTAGTGGAAGCGACAGATTGAGGTGTTGACCTCTCGTACATGCGATCCGCAATTTCGGTGAGCCTTTCTATGTCAATGTCGTCGTCTCCGAAAGCAAGAACCTGCTGGATGTTTGCAAGAAGTCGTCGCAGCCAGATTTGGTAAAAGAGACGTTTATCGATTTCTCTTCCCGCAACTAGGCTTTGCATATGCCTCATGAGTTGCGATGGGGTTTTATCACCTAACTCAACATTGCTTAACAGGCGATCGAGTGCTTGCCTATCCGAAAGCGAAGTGCATCGAAGTACCTCTCCCTTCAACTTGTCGTAAGGCGCTTCTGTGCTGGGTTGAACGATGTATTGCCGTACCTGCTCGGCGACGTCGTCTGGTAGTACTGTACTCAAAATGCCAAATTTAGCTGTCTGTGACGTGAGCTTATTGCTAGTTAAATAATGCTCCAGTCGTGCAAACCAAAGATGAGGGTCTCTGGGCTCAAAAACTGGTACAGTAAGAGAAATAGTACTAACAGATCCCAGCTCTAAGTTATCAGAGGTATTGGAAGACATGTTACAATTTGTAAAAAAATGGTTTAAGAGTAGCGAAATAGCGAAATTTGTGCACGATAAGAATATGGCGAAACAGAAAAACATGCAATACAGATGCTTACCACAATTTACTGCAGGTTGTGCTATGAGCAGACACAAAAATGAGTTCGAAAAGTCTAATAAATATATAGATCCGCGAAAGTTAGAGTTTTATTAATCCAGCAAGTGTAACGACGCGTCGAGGTCAAAAAGTCGTCATCGTCGGGCTCACCAATGTGTTGCGTGTTCTGTTTGACTAAATTAGCGTACACGTATTTTCTAGTACTTCTTCACGTTTATCAATGTGCGCAGACGTTGTGGCTACTCGACGCCCACAACGTACAATCAGAAGGCACTTGTGAAGAGTGTAATCGTGTATTATAGCCGTAGTCAAATTTTTAAAATTGTATCAAGGTAACGTTCAACAGTAAATTGACAAATGTTTACGAAGTACATATAAAATCGGTCTGTGTAAACATATAATATAAGTATGCAAATTAGATTAAAAGCGTATGTTTATAGTTGGTATAGGGGCACTACAATTCCACTCTGGTCTTCAGTAAAGTATACAAACTACACACCCATATCTTCTCCAGATCAGTACGCGGAAAACAACTGCCCTACATCATTTAAACCGTTATTTACAAGAAATAAATGCCATTTTTACAGGCCCTGTCACTTATGTTATACATTACATGTTATATATTCTGCGTAACTTGCTCCATTAAAATATTCATCGGTGCTAATTTTAGGAAAGATAAAACAGTTTTATTCTTCTCCTCTCTTCACCATCGGTGAATTGTGTAACACTGTGGCCAACAACGACTTAGTCACTGCTAGTGGGTCATCATTTGAAGGAGATACTTAATGAAACTCAGTTCGGTCGCAGAACAAGCGCGTTTTGTTCAGCTAAGATGTTGTCGGGCTGAAAAAAATGGACGTGGCGCAGAAGTGATCACAGAGGCGAAAGATTTTGGGAAAACTAGTGCCGACTTCAGCCCTGCAGTACAATGCAATACAATTGAAATGAAAGGATGTGACTTCAAGAACATGAGGCATTATTGTACAAACTATAGAGTTTATTTGCTGACATGACTGATAATTGTTAATGGACTCTATAATGTTGAGAAAATGTTTAATATGAGATAGAGGAAATGGAGAAAATCTGATGTTCCCAATTAGAGTGATCGTGTTGTATCATCTCGCGCTCAAGGTTAAAACTATTTATAGTAAACGCGCGACTTTTGAAACCGTGGAAACCTGATGATGATATCTTGAAAGTTCGTTAGAATCAAGTACGGTCAGAAGCCGACTCTGACACCATGAATATCTTTGAAAACAACATGAACAAAGCTGTTGAGCCAAAACGTGGTTCTGCAAAGGTTTTTGATGACTTGTTAAGATCAAAGTTTATTTTAGGCTTTCAATCAGTCAGACTTTACAGCTTCTCCAGAATATAGTGAACAGTATGAAACGGACTCTGAATTGACTGATATGCAAGAACAAACTGATTCAAAAGACCGGAAAGTACGAGAGACAAGTGGCGACTTGAGTACACAAAGGAGGAACAAACAAATCAAGAAACTTCGTAGGTACACTTGGTATTAAGCCTGAAAATTATTTATTTTTAATGTTTTAAGCTTTTGATGCAAATGTATTCGAAGTCTATATGGTTATACCTCACCATTTAATTGAATCTTACTAAATTGTTTGAACAAATGTTTTGTGATGTCTTTACTTTGTAAGGTTGCTTAACCACTTGGTTTTTTGCGTTCATAATAGTGTCACCTGTGAGCTGAAGATATTTTTCAGGTAATAACATCTGTCATGTAGTGGTTATCATCATAATACTATTATACTTCAATGGGTCAGTGCATATTAATACAGAACAGTCTATCTATAATTGTAATAAGGTCATGGATTGTCTCAAAAAATAGTGTGCATGATTTTATAGCCACCACTGTCATGACTTTAATAAAGCCACTTCCTACAGCTTTGAACAACAGCTAAAATTCAATATGCTATTGCATCACACATTGTGTTTGCGTAAAAATTAGTGATGCACTTATCTGTGTCACTTTTATTCTTGTTACTGCCTTCCTATTCATTAACAGTAAGTTAATTCACTTAGCAGTAATGCTATCACTGAATACTTTTGGAGGTGAGGATTGCTCTGTAAGTTAGAGTATCATATTTTCGCCTTAGTATGCACTGAATAGAGGTAATACTGGAATCGACAAACATATCTAAGACAGGAAGTAACCTGATGATTTCTTCGCGTTTTGGCAAAAGTGACAACTCGCCAACAGCTTTAATTTATTATACTTAAGATATATAGACATAACTCATGTATAACAGCCACTTTTTTACTTATATGATAATGGTAGTTATGCATTCCAGGAGGCTCTGTGGGAGGCTGGAGGGATGTAGTAACTTATATGTATTTTTTTAATTATTTCAATGAATTCATAGAGTTAACTCGCACTGACGTAAAATTCCGTAAATAGTAGTCCCTACTATAGTCAGGTCCTTATTGACATCTGACCTTCCCATGAAAATCTTAGCAGTTAATTGTTTTTCTAAAGTTTGTTGTTCCACTGAGTCTAGAAGGTTTATAACATGAGTACATCAGTTTAGTTTTGTCGAAACCTGACGTGACTTGAAACACTGATGATCACAAATAGATAGAGATTAGAGGAAGAAGTGCCATTATTATTACGCAATGAGTGGTGAAGTAATTTCATGTCAAAGTTTAACCCTCTTCTGATCGAATTTTAATGGATAAAACAATGCAGATTTTCGTCTTTTTTTGATTATAGCTTGATTCCACACCGTAGTTTTGATATAAGTATGGAATTTTCAGCATGTGATATCGGTAGCCCAAATTTGGCAGGCCGACCATTGATATCGGGTGTGCGTCGGCAGGGGGTCGAACCCCGGGCCATGTGCATGGTCGGCAAGAGTCCTAACCGCTGTGCTGCCTAAGACCTATTATTCCACCTTTGGAATTCTTTATAAGCCACCACCTTACACGACAAATGATGTTGGCTAATGTAGGAATAAGTTAAAAATGACTTAATGTAGCCAAAATGAAACATGATGATACTCCACTAAGTTTTTGACTATTGGTTTCAACAACGTAGAATGATGTAAATTGACTGTCTGGCATTCTTGAGACACTGCGAATCAATGACTGGGGACTGTAGGTGACACTGCTCGAAGTCCTTTTCAGTGGTGCAGATCTCCTAGATTCATTAAATAATCACTTATTCCAAACATTTTCGATTATTGTAGATGTATTCGGTTTTTTTCCTCTACTTTTATGTATGGTTTTATGAAGTACGGCCACCTGAACTGCTGCAATTTTTATGAAATTTTCACTTTAGGAATTCAGTTTACTTCAGATCTTACTAACTTTTGTGGTATAAACTACATGACCACTAGCCAATATTTGATAAAATGTGCAATTATTTAGTCTTCAGAAATAACTGGAGCTTTTCTATTAGATTTATAGTGTGCCTAATAAAGTCTCTGTTCTTGGAGATACTTTTTTAATCTAAATTTCACTTATTTCTGTTGATGTTAACCAATGAAACGAGGGTGTAGTCTTAAAGGTACTCATCTTTTATCAAAGGACAAATTGTTATTGGAAAATATTTAAATATGTGGTATGTATATACTCATCCATGGTTTATTCTTCTTCTCTAAGTTTCAGAAACTCTATTTTTCTTTGTGTTCAGAGTAGCGTGGACACTAACTTATTAGGTCTTTATGATAATTATCCAGTTCACTAGCCGCATAAATTCAGTTTGCCATTTTTAAAGCGAACATAAGTAGAGTAAAACTAAAACAGGAATGAAGAATAATTAAGATCTGCAGGATCGCAAAGAGTGAGTGCAGCTGCAATATACAGAACCGTTTTGAACCATATCATTAGGCGTCTTCAGCCAATGGATCTTAGCATCTCGAGGATCCCACTAAGACAGTCTTCACTTGCCTATGTGACATAAACCGTCATCCAAAGACTTTATGGATTAATTCCATATTTTGATTTGATCGCCTTTGATTCTTTTCAAACTTAATCCTTTGTAAGCTGACGTTACTCGACAGAGAAACGGATGGCTTGGTATGCATCATGATGTATCCTAGTCATCTCCATCGTTGCAGCTTCACAACCTCATCGGTTGAATTTCCCTCGTCGTTCAACATATTCGCTTAACCTCAGTATTGCTTGCCATATTATGTCACTTGACCCTGTAGGTAGAATTCAATTATCTGTGGTCAAAGACGGTCAGCTTCTTCGAGTTTTCTTCCACTTCTTGCGGTCACAAATTGTGTTTATAAAGAAGGACGTGGAGAACTTGCTACTCAGTATGCACGTCGTTCGATGGGTAGCCAAATATCAAACCCACTCCAAAAATGAAGTAATATGGTAAATATCAGATAAGTCTTTTTGCCCAAATTTGGAGTTTATCAGCATGTACTGTTGTATCCAAGCTACGCTGATTGTATTAGAGTTAATATTAGTATCGTATTCTCTGCTCAGACTGGAATAAGTGGAGAAGGACTCGAACGCAGCATCCATCAGCCAAGTTGAGTGCTTAATACAATGAGTCACATCTCCCTCCATATTGTGATGAGTGAAAATACAGGGTGTTTGCCAAATGCTCAGCACTAGTAATTTCAAGTCATGTTCCACTTACTTAAGTCATCATTATATTTTTATAGAATATGTGTGTAAACTGGGGGGTATTAAGTTTAAAAAACACTTTTCATTGTGTTGATAAAGTCATAGGATCTTTAGGTCTAATAGAAATGGCTGAGACACGCGTTACGCATGCCTAGCTACTGTATTCTTTGTCAAGCAATATTAACTGACATAAGATTAGAATGGAATAGGCTTAGTGGTGGTCAAAGCGAAATGTAACATGAATACATGAAGTCTTCAGTTCCAGTTGAACTAATGTCCGTAGTTATTGACGTGAATTGACATGAACAAACCTAATTTACCCGGAGTTATAGTGAGAAGTCGTGATCAGCGAGGTCTGCCAAGTCAGACAAGCGAAAGACTACTCGCTGGTGACATTGGCTAGCGGTTAGGCCATATATATATATCGCGGATATACAGACGTTGGAATTCATGCGCCATGGGATCGGGTCTCAGTGGTTGAATGGTCTATGAGATCACCTTGTGATTGGAAGGTCCCAAGTTCCAAACCCGACGTATCCTCACTGGTGAAGAGTCCTAAACTAGGACGAAACAGTTGGTTTCCCAAAGATCTATGTCATGTTTCTTAACTGCTAGTCTGTGTTTATTAAAACGAAGATGAAGAGGATGTCGGCGGTTCATGCAGTCTACTTTATAAATGACTTTTTTTAACCCTCTTTCGCTGTCAGTTTACTTAGTATATAGTGAAGAAATCGTATTGGTTTGTTAGACACAATTGCGATAAAATGTTTCAATATTTTTGATTGCACACTAGTCAGTAACTAGTGTAATGTGTCTAGTCCTATCTTCGGTGCAGACTGAATTCTATCAGTCATGTTTGCAATGTGGCCACCATGCTAGGTGGCTCACCATTACGGTGCACTGTGAATTGTTGGTATTATATGGTTGGAGGCAATCGGCAGGAAGCCTTGGACCTAGGTTTCGTGCTAGTTGGCACTCATCAGCAAGGTGTATCTGCAACCTTGAGGGAACTGATGATGACTAGTGTGCAGTCAAAAATATCCAATACAGTCCTACAGGAGGTCAGTCGCGAGCCTGAATAGCTTAGTGGTAACGTCTCTGATTACAGCACTGGGTGACACGGGGTCGAATCTCAGAAGAAACATGAGTTCCTTCAAGGTTGCAGATACGCCTTGCTCATGAATGAGTGCCAACTAGCACGAAACCTAGGTCCAAGGCTTCCAGCCGATTGCCTCCAACCATCTAATACCAATGTTTCAATATTCTAGCAGTAATTTCGGAAAAGTATTTCATTTGCTGTACTGAGATTTTCTTTGTCGTTTCAAAGGATGAATTTCAATTTCATCTGTTGAATTACTGAAAGACATCTTTTGATGAAGTATCTTGGGTACCACTTTTTCTGGTGAACGTTCACTCATAGTATCTCTTGTCTATTTTACTCAAGACAGTAGAGTTGCAAAGTGGTCTATCTCTATTAAATAACACTTGTATGTAGACTCTTTTGTGTGCTGTTATAATATTATTACTATTGTAATTTGGATAGCGTTATTAGAAGACAGAGATTATCTGAAAAATGTGATGTATTCACGCTATACATTTCGACCAGTCTGATCACACATTTACTTGTCAAGTCGATATATATATGAAAAAATTAAGGGCAATTAAATTAAACAAAGTGACAAAAAAGAAGATTTAAGAATGATTAACACAACGTTTGGTAATCCAATCAAATTAGGATTAACAAGGTAGGTAGGTTAAGAGTAATAATAAACTGTTTTGAATACACAGGGGGGGGGGCTTAAGTTTATGATTAGCTATAGCCTCAGCGTATTTCGAAATGTATAGCGCAAATACATTACATTTTTCAGATAATCTTCGTCTTCTAATAACACTATCCA